CCCCGGGTGCTCTGCGCCCCTGCCGAGCCGCGAGTGCATAGGGTGAGCCAAAGCGCGACTTGCTGGTAAAGATCAGCCTTTTCCAATCGACTCCTTGCAGACGCCCTTCGGCCTCCTCAGAGTATTCAGCGTTGTGATCCCTTTCCTGTATGTCGGGACTCAGATCAGTAAGAACTTCGCAGCCCTACTTGAAGAACATGATATCTTTGTCCCAGAGGATGACGATGATGATGATTAAAGGGTACGTCATTAACGTCAGCAGCAATCTAATTATTTGTGCCTCCTGTTTGGCTTGGGGTAGGGAGGAGAATCTCGGACTAGGAAGTACAGACAGCAACAGCTCGAAAGATGCATTTGCAGACAAACACATGGACACGTGCAGCTGTATTCCCTCTAGCCATGAACCTGTCAGTTCCTTTATGCCGGGGTAGGCCAGACTGGTATCTGAATGTGAAAACTCCACAGCATACGTTCACTAGAGATCGTAATAAACTGATGGTGTTTTAGATCTTGTCACTTGAATCAGAAATAAACTGTAGTCAGTGAGGGTCTATACTGCAGACAGAAAAGAGGGACTTACTACATGTTTACCTGTTTAAAAGTCTTCTGCTAACTCACAGAATGACTATTTTTAAAAAGAATCACTCATTGTATGAAATTCTGATATAAAGTGAACAATTTGAGAGAATTCCAGAACCCATCAGATCAAACTGTCAGGTGGGTGTTAACAGCGCTGATCTCTGGAGTAGCTGGACCACTGAGACTCATCGGATAAAGGAAGAGCAGAAATAATTCACCTTTAGCTACAGTACACTACACTACACCACATTTTCCTCTGTTTTATGTTATTCCATTTGGCTTGCCCTTGTGTAAAGACTTGAATTTGGGTGTATTTCTTTATAGAACAAAGAAGTTGTTTTAAAGAAGTTGTTGTAAATAGTGGTGTTTTGTAATCAGTTTGGTGGATGTATTGCATTTGATAAAAGGGATTTTCCAGCATGCACTGTGCAGCTAAAACCAGAGAGTTAAAAGACTACAGTGGCCTGTTAGAAACTTCTTCTATGTAAACCCCCACCTTGTGTGATTTGGGCAGAGGGTACAGCCTGGAGCTCAGTACAGTATGTCTGAAGAGTAACGGCTTGTTAATTCTGTTTGCAGAACTGTAATGGAAGAACAGCAGGGAGAAAAACCATTGACAAAGCAATGGTTCCAACACCTGTGTTGTCACCTGTGTTTTGTCCTTCCTAAACGGGACGGGGGGCTCTGTATCCCCTTTGCCAGCCAGTGTCCTGCGCATGTCTGACTATGATGGAAATCTGTAGATCAGGGTTGAAGGACGTGCTTGATAGGCCCTGCATCTTTGCACACACACACTCACCTCATCAAAGACTGCTTGGGATTCCTTTTATTAGCAATATAGGAAAAACTTAATTAAAGATCAAGAGCTTGAGATACATGACTTTGGTCTTGTGTTTTTATAGATTATGTGCCTACAACCTAGCATGTCTGTATTAACCTTTCTACCTCTGTATGTCTGTACCAGTAAGGAGGCTCTCTTCACATGCTTCCTCTTACGAGTCCTTTCTGTAATTCACTACTCATCTACAGCACATGACAGGAATCCTAGAGGAAGCAGGAGCTTCACAACACAGCCCCATTAAAAGAATGGAGTTCATACTGACACTGGCACTGCACTTCAAATCATGTTGATTTACAACCTAGCATTAAGCAGGTGTGTCTGGTGGAGACTCTATCATTAATTTCACCTCAGTGAGGATTAAATACAGTATTATCATTGCAGAACTAAAAGTTTGGTAAAAGGTTAAGATCATGAGTGGCAAATTAACTTGCTGATGTGTGTTACAGCATTTAATCTATGAACAGTGAAAATCTCTGAACACTCTGGCTCCAAGTACCAAGTATTTCCTAGGTAGCTCAGTACTTCCTTCTGCACGAGCCCTAATACATTTATTTTGTTAGCTGTGTATAAACTTCAACTCTTCTTTTTACAAAGTGTTTACTATCACAATTAAATCCTTGCATAATAGACTTAAAAGGTCTTCTCTGCTGCTAGGGCATGTGTAGAATATCTTCAGTCACATCAGACCAGCTGTTTTCTCAAATACCTTGAAAGGCTGAAGTAAATTTTTGGGTTTTTTTGGTAAGCCAGCATTGCCCTGGTGTCTCTCTCATGGGTTTCTGGTCACTAGATCTGGCCTCTTCACTGCCCACTTTTCCCTTCAGTATTCATGTGGCTGTTGAAAAGGTAATGTCACACACAGCACAGCATATAGTTCAAACAGCTACATTTGCTCCCTTATTATTTGGCACTGCTTTTGATGTTTGCTCTCTAACTCTCCAGCATAGCTGCTGAGAGAAAAGGGAGCCTGCGATCTGAATAATCCCAACAGCTGTAGCTGAAGGCAGCTGGCAGGTTCTTGAGTCACTCGGTATCTGAGTTGCTCCGCCTTCCCCAGGGCCTCCTGAGAAGTGGTTGCTCAGTTCATCTGTTCCTGGGAGCCTGACATGTCCCTGCTCCTGTGTTCTATACTGCCACGCTCCTTATCACTGCTTTAATCCCACCATCTCTCCTGGCCCCTTCCTGGCTGTGTTCCTTCTTCAACTCTGTCCTTAAAAACACCCCACTCCCAAAGTTCCTGGGTACACATATGTACACATCCCTGAGGAGTGCTGCTTTACAGTACCCATATGGGGAAGAAGGCCCCAGTATTTAGGGAAGGATAAAAAGAAGTTTGAGCGTACTACAAGGATTCAATGCTGATTACACATGGTGGAGCTCCAGCACCGAGTTACCTGCTGAAAACATGCTCTGACTGGTGAAAGAACAAGTTCTTCTTACCCTTCTCAAAAGGGAGCTAGTAACTCCTGCTTCAATTAAGGAGGTGATGGTAGGACACCATCTTCTGCTAGGCATCACAAGTTCTTACAGAGCCTCCGTGTTCTAGGCAACAGTACAAAACCCCATTTTTCCACATAATTTAATTTTGAAGCAGGGAAATGGAAATCTGCTGATCTTTTTATTGCACAAAGGGCTTTATTGGCCTATTGGATTTTACGTCATTCTCTGCGAGGAAGTAAACAGAGAAGAGCACGTCAACAAAGTCACAGCATGAAATTGCAAAACACTGCATGAATACGGATGGGCCTCAAGCACAAGAATATTTCTGTGACTACACTGGCTTTTCTGCTTTCTTCCACACAGCTAACACCCGCACACAGGGCTGCAGCCTAGGCAGAAAGCCCCACAGCCAGGCTGTGTTGTGGTTATTCAGCAGATGCTCCAGGGCAAGCGATGGGACAAACTCCATACACTGAAAATAGCAGATTGGCAAAAGCTAGGAAATCACAGCTCTTCATACAGATCATAACAACTTGCACACACTCTGGATTCAGAGTTAGTCATTAGGCTCCTCATATGCTATACAATCTTTCTGTACAGATTTTTTTTCTACCATATAGAATTTTATTTGTAATACAAGGCAGGAAGATACAGAGTCAATCTCTCAGGGATCGTGGCCCGCATAGAATTTGGACAGAAAGTCTTTAGGTCGTGGGGTTTCCGTCTCATGGAAATACCTCATGACATGAGTCCTCTGCTTCCATACCTGAATGGTTTCTTGAAGCTCCATTTTTCCCTGTGAACAGATAAAAGAATTTTAGACTAGTTCTCAGTTAGAGCCCGAGTCTTAACTATACAGCACTATTTGAGTGCACTTAGAAACACCCTTAAGACAGCTGCATCAACAGTTCTGTATTCCCGAAGACTGCTTGCATCACCTATATTGTGACACAAATATATACACTGTTCCTGCCTTGTGACTTTACTGCTTCATGTCCTATATTAACAAGTCACTTGTCTCTACAGCACAGCTTTCCAGCCCTGTGGAATAGGTGAGGGACCCTGCCCCCTTCTTAGAACCTACCTTGTTTTTCTCATGACTGGCACCCCCCTAAAATTCTACATAACATTCCTAACTTCCATGCATCTCTATTTAATTTTTTTGAATAGCAGCAAGTTAGCTGTAAAACTAAGTAAAATTGCTGCTAAGTGCTTTCCACCAGTATCCTCCAGTCTCTGAATTGTTGTACTGATTTCAGAGGATGGCAGCATGGGGCAAAATGAGACTGCCTGGATTTGTCACCTACCGTATTATCTAGGATTCTGCTGACAAATTTTTTTCATCACGTAAAGACAGACTAACTGTCTTGAAATGCAAGAAACGCAACAGGTGAGCACAGCAGTCCTTGGTTGGAAGCCTTCTAATACATTAGAACTGCAGAGGTCAGTTATTGTTGCTCAGACCCATTTGGAAGCCTTGTCCTGCTCTTGGTAGTGCTTTAAACTAGACAGGTCTCTCGGGCCCGAGACATAACTGGATGTGTTACAGAGTTGGGGTGTTCTGCCACCCAAAGCCAGCCTCCCACCAAGTACTGCCACTCTAATGTATGTTTCAGAATCGGTGAAGAAAACCACATCCCAATCTAAGGAAGTACTGTAGGGAGTAGAAAGGTAATTTTAAAAGGTCATTTTAAATGGTAAACTAGTTAGCAGCATCTTCTTCCACTTTCTTTGATTGCCACTGTTTTCTAAAAAAAAAAAAAAACCCAAACCACCAAACAAATCCAAAACATAGTATTTAAACTACCATTTTGCTTGCCATATGCTTCCTTTTTTAAACATCTGCAAACTGGAAGAGCCAGTGCACTGACTGACAGAAATCGATATTCTAGCAACTCTTGACTTAGGTGAGTTAAGACCCTATTTCTCTGCATGCTAAGCAGCTTGATCCCTTATCAACAGGTTTGTTGACAGAGATAAACCAATCTGGATTGCAAGAGACAACTCCTTCATAGCGCAAGCTGAAATAAAACTGTCCCTCTCCCCCACTACACTCACCACCAGTCTCACATTCTCTGCAGCTTCAACAAAATGGGAATAACTTGTCTGTACCTTAATAACCAGCATGTCTATCACCCGTGGATCTGTTACATGGGCATTCTTCATGAACATCTCCCGCACCTTGTTACGCCCCTGTTTCACCGTGATGTCCAGCTGGTATAGGTGTACTACGAAAAACAGCAACACCCACAGAGGTCATCGACATTGCTTTTCTTTTTTTCCACCGACAACGTGCAACTCAACCCTACAAAACACTACACAGTCATTTCTTCTTCCGATGTCTGCCAGCTTCGCTAATGCAATTAATTTAAAGCAAATAAACAACGCAGCCATGGTACGAGTCCCCGGGCAATTTTAAGGAGGCAGACAATCATGCCACGCATCCCTTTTCTGGAAAATTAAAGCTAGATTTCTCTTCTGTAAGAGAAGAGAAAGGTAAGGCCCCGAACAACCGCGTTCACCGGCCCCGCACGCAGCGGGCCAGGCCGGGGAAAGGGCAGCGGCGGGGTGAGGCAGGGCCCGGGGGTAGCGGCACCCCCAGACGCGCCCTTTAAGAACCCAACGGCTGCG